TGTGTGTGTGTGTTTGTATTAGATGGATGCAACCAAAAGATTTCACCTGTTCATCTGGGAGACTGTGAGGCAGCAAGATGTGGAGTACCTGGCCCGCTGCACTCTCTGCTATGGTAAGCCTGAGCAGGATTTCTGACTGGACTGATGCCTTTAGAACAGGGAGAATAAATTAATGGTCACAGGCCATATCTGCTCTCAGATGTATTTGGGCTTGGCATGCACAATTTTAAAATCTGGGAATTCCATCTTAAGTCTAGATTTCCAGTTTCTCTTAGAAATTCAAGATCGTCTTGAGAACCACAAACACTGCATTCCCGTGTGGTCACACTAGTCAGAGCTGAGTTGTGGCTGCTTGATGGACCACATGTCTGCTAGTGCCCTATAGTTCCTACCCCTTTTTACCATGTTTTCTCTTATCTGCTCTGCTCATAATTTGTCCTTCCAGGCTTTTGTAGATGACTGTACTTGTGTTTTCTGCCTGTTAATGTGAAGGGCAGAGTACTCAGTCAAGAGTCTTGGCACTAGGTCTGGAACTACTTTTGACTGGCAGTGGGATATGGCAAGACATTCAATGTCTCTAGCTCCCCAGCCTGCATCATTTTATCCACACCTCACACTATCCTGTGCCAGGGAGAGCCTTCTACTGAAATCCATGCATGGCCTGTGTGAAGAGCTCTCACTTGTATCTGCTTCACCCAGGGCCTCAGTGAATCTGGAAGGTAAATTCAAAAGGGGATTTAATTCTCCCTCTACTTGATCCACACTAAGACCTGCCATGACCATGAGAAAGTGATGTCTGAGAACTTGGTCAAGTCAAATACAGGAATTGCTATTTGTATAATTCCTGAACTTCTTTCCTATCCATCATCTCTTCTGATATGGCACCTCTCTGAACGTCAGTATCTTCTCCTGATGCATACTGAGCTCTTACAAAGTGCAAATATTGTGTTGAGCCCTTAGATATATTAACTCGTTTTTCATTTAAGCCTCATAAACAACCTCATAAGACAGATACTATTACTATCATCATTATCTCCACCTGAGAGATGGGAAAACTGACACACTGGGAAAGGAAGTAATTTACCCGAGGCAGCCTAGCACAAACCACGTACACCACCCGGGACTTCTGTAGTATGAGGTAGAGCCAGGATTTGAACTAAGCAGTCTGGTTGCAGAACTTTATTTTTAAAAATAATTTATTATTTATTTGTTGTTGTTGTTGGCTCTGACACAGGGGTTTTAACCTTTATTGCACTATAGACCCCTTTGTTGTTGTTGTTCTTGTTATGTGCCGTCAAGTCAGACCTGACTCATAGCGACCCCTCCTTGAGTTTCCGAAGCAGTATCACTACAGAAGTAGATTGCTCAACCTTTTGGTTAGCAGTCAAGTACCTTAGGCACTATGCTACCAGGGCCCCTTAGCATCTGGTTTAAACCTCCGGCCTCCTCAGAATGACGTTTTTAAATGCATAATGAAATACAGAGAATTACAAAGAAATATAATTGCACTGAGAATATGTTATCAAAATATTAAAAAATTTTGATGTAGTAAAATATCTGCTTCTTTATTAACATACTAAATAAGATGCAGCACATGGTCCAGCAACTATTATCACCTTGAAGTAGTGATGAGCGTAAATAATGTTGAGCTATCTGCGACAACTGTAATATCACATGGAAATACCAGGGATGTCGATTGGTGACTGCTAACGCCGTAGTGGTTTGTTGCCTAGATGCATAATGGAAGGAAATGCTAAATTTCATTTAATCATTTTTTGACCTACAAAAATGACAATTTTATATGTGTCTTTAAGGTCACTCCCAGCTCTAGCAGTCAATATTTTCATGAGTTTTTCCCCAAATAGTCACAGTTGTTGATGTATTTACTTAATAAATAAATTCATCTATAATTATTTTTCTGGGGAGTGGGAGTTGTCTGTGGACCCAGAAATTAGGAAGCCATATGACCTAGTGATTAAAAACATTAAATGTAGAATCAGTCTCAATTCTTTCTTTTGTGAAATAGGCACATTTATTTACCGAGCCCATAGGCTTGGTGTGTCAGCAGGATGCCTGGCTGCAGCTATTCTTCTTAAGGGTTTAGAAACATATTTTGAGTGGAAATGAAAGATGCATGGGCTACCCAGGCCTCTCCCTGTGTTTCCTCCTCAGACAAATGCCGACCCCACCCGGATTGCGACCTGGGAGCACCCAGGCCCCTGGAGGTGGACGTGGATGTGGCGTTCGTGGTGGACGGCTCTCACAGCGTCAGCACCAATGTGTACCTTGCAGCCTTGGGCCTAGTGGCCACTACACTCAATGACCTGGAGGTGGCCGAGCAACCCAGTGCATCCCACCACGGGGCACGCGTGGCTCTGGTGACATACACGACGCCTGGCTTCAGGCCTGGAAGGGGGCACCCTCCAGTGACAGAGAATTTCCATCTGACCTCCTATGGTCACCGGTCTCAGATGCAGCAGCATGTCCGTGGGATCGCGGACCACCCCCCACAGGGAGCCGCTGCCCTGGGTCATGCCCTGGAGTGGACGCTGGAGAAGGTGCTCCTGGAAGTCCCGCTGCCGCGGAGAGCGCAAGTCCTTTTCGCCATCGTGGCCAGTGAGACCAGTGACTGGGACAGGGAGAAGCTAAGGACTTTGTCCCTGGAAGCCAAATGCCAGGGCGTCGCTCTGTTTGTGCTGGCCTTAGGTTCGGGCGTGGGACCCCTGGAGCTGGCTGAGCTGGATCATGTGGCCAGCACCCCTTCTGAGCAGCATCTGCTGCGCCTAGAGGGGATCTCAGACTCAGAGGTGGACTATGCCCAGGGATTTATACGAGCCTTTTTCAACCTCCTAAATAGTAAGTGGTGCCAGAAAACTGGGGGTGACCTGAGTGAGGTGGAGACAAGCACTTATAGAGCCTGGCATTTGGGGAGATGCCCATTGTACCTCCACTCTAGATGAGGTGTTTGTAGCCCTGCAGCCTCCAGGGAACCCAGAGAGTACTCACATTTCCTGAAAAACCTGTCCTATGATTGCCCTGACTCTGCCAGGCCTGGTGGTCCTGGCTTCTTGTTCTGAACCTCTCATCTGGTGGTGAGAGGCCACTGCCTTCCACCTTCTTGATTTTCTCATGTACCAAAATGAGAATTACAGTTTCTTTCCTTATTTGTGATGGAGTCTTGATGGCACAATGCTTAAAGCACTTGGCTACTATCTGAAAGTCAGCTGTTAGAAGCCACCAGCTACTCTGTGGGAGAAAGATGAGGCAGTGTGCTTCCATAAAGATTTACAGCCTTGGAAACCTTATGAGGCAGTTCTTCTCTGTCCCACAGGGTTGGTATAAGTCAGAATCAACTTGATGGCAAAAAAAAAAAAAAAAACAACTTACTCCATCAAGTTGCATCCGACTCATAGCGACCCCTCCTTGGGTTTCCGAGGCAGTATCACTACAGAAGTAGATTGCTCCATCTTCCTTCCAAGGAGTGGCTGATGGGTTTGAACCACCAGCCTTCTGGTTAGCAGTCACTTGCAGCTTTCATGTAGTTGGTGCTTCATTCTATCATTTCTACTGCTTTCCTGTCCATTTCTTGGATGTATTCTTGCCCCAGGATGCTAGGAGACCACCCTATGCTCTTGAACAAGTTAGAAAGGATGTTAAATGGTGCTTGACAAATCAAAAGTAATGAATGGCTTAGTTTCTGATGACGTTGGTGAGGAGAGAAACCATAAAATAACAGTCCAATTCTCAAGGCCTTTCAGAAAACCCATATTTCTTCATAATTGAATATATTGCAGGCCTTCACCTCCCCATCCCTGTGCTATATTGGTAGGGGAATCCAGGTTAAGAGAGTAGGAACGCCTGAGATTTGTCTTCTGAATTCTCTGCCCAAAGGCTCCCTTTGTCTCTCTGTGGTGCTTTTGTCTTTCATCTCTATGTCACTTTATTTTTCAGAACAACTCCCCCGTGCTTGTTCTGGGGAAATGATTGTTGCTTAGTTTGAAACAATTATATAAACAGATGTCCTAACTCCTTAGTTCATCTAAACACACATGGAGGCTGCGGTACATGTTGAAAAGATTATTTTAAGCCATCCATTAAGTCATCTCTGTCCTTAATAAACTGTGTCCCAGCGTTCAAGCTATCTGTGCTTAATCTTATTGTTATAACTGCCTAACTGCCTTGTACCTCAGAACATATGACTTCAATAGCCCACCCAACTCATTTTTTAAAGTTACAAAAGCAAGGGATTGGAGGAAAAATACATTTTGTGTGCATGTGTGCCAGTTTTCGATTTCAATGTTTCTTTTTAAGAATTCTACCGCATGTTCTCTTGAAACAATACCTAGGAAAAATAGCTCATGTTTATTGATCCAGCACACACAAGTTCTAAAATAGTCCCACTTATCGATTCATTTAATCTTCACAAAAACCCAACGAGATAAGGACTATTATGAGCCTCATTTTACAGATGATGAAACTGAGACACAGAGAAGTTAAATAATTCACTCAAAGTCTAGAATTTCTATTACCAATGGAGTTTGAGTTCAAAAATCAAAACCAGGAATAAAAGAGATTTCTGATATTCTAAGCTCTTTCCATGTATTAACTCATTAAATCTTTACAACAACACTATGAGACAGGCCTTTGAGCTGGCCCTATTTCTATTCCTGTGCATTGTTGCTGGTTTTATTTATTATTTTTTTTTTAATCTAAGGAGTGAAATGCTATCGTATGAGACCAAAAGAGGGAAAAATTAGCTTTAGAAGATGAAAACATTAAGAAGAAGGCCAAAAACATTTTTGGGGTTGTTAGGCCGAAGCAAACCCAAGCCACCAACATTTCAGTTAGCAGCTTCCTCTGGGCGTCCAGCCCTGATGAGACAGCCTGATAAGACAACGGAAGTGACAGAACCTGCCCAGACTGGAAAGTCCCATGCAGTGGCAAGCTTCCTCTTGTGAAGCCCCCTCATGCTAATTAAGTACAGACCCATGCTAACAGCTAATTGGACCCCACTATTTCCTTAGTGTCCCCACTTAGGTCCTCCACAAGACTATAAACCCTCCCCTCCCCAGCCAGACGGTGTGACTTCCCGGGCCCCTCTCAGGGACCCGTGAACCTCACCCGGGTCCCTCTTAGGGACCCGTAAACCTCCCCCGGAAACTCAGAATAAAAACTTCTCTTTAACCTCACTTTTGTGTGTCCTCTTCTCCTTACTGTGACCTTACAGGGGTAACTTTTTATTTTGGTATAATTTCAGAATTCACAAAAGTTGGAAGAAAATATTCTTTTTTGAAGAAATGAAGTGTTGAGTTATCCAGAGAGGCACAGACAACCTGATGCAGAGGCTTTGTGGGCTGTTTGTGTTCTCCACTGATTATTAATTTCCTAAGCCAGGATCAGCAACCCAGGAAAGGAATTAGACAGATGAGGCTTCAAACCTTGTTTTATGCTTTATGTAATTTGGGCATATTATCTGGAATGGGTGCCTCAATTTATTCACCTGTAAAATGAAGATAAATTTAAAGATTTGTTGTGAAAACAACATCTGACACTCTCTATGTGTATACTTGATGTAGGCCATTATTATCAACACTTTCTCAAGGTCCTTAAGAATGCCCTTTGCCCGTAACTATTTATTAAATCATATAACTTCCATGTTGTAAGCATCTACGAAGCTGTAGGCGCCATGCCACATGCTTTTCATGACTTATCATTTTACTCTCTCACTACTCAAAGTGTGGTCCAAGGACCAGAAGGATCAGCATCACTCAGAAGCTTGTGAAAAGAGTCAATCTCAAGCTCCATCCCAGATCTAATCAATCAGAATATATATTTTAAATAAGATCCCCAGATAACTTGCATGCAGGCTTACATTTGAGAAGGGTTGCTCCAATCCTCATATTCTATACTCTCAGATGAGGTAAGTGAAGGTCAGAGGTGAAGTGACTTGTTCAAAACTACCTCGTTCTAGAATTGGCACTCTGACAGAAGTGGTTCCTCATAGCGTCTCCATGTGCTCAGAGTAGAACTGCTCATCAAGTAGCGATCAACTCAATGGCAACAATAACAACAATAAGGATGGCTAGTTCCTAAATCTGGGAGCTCTGGTAGCATAGTGGCTAAGGCACTTGACTGCTAACCAGAAGGCTGGCGGTTCAAACCCACCAGCCACTCCTCGGAAGGAAGG